TGTAGGGTGTGAGGCTTAGGGGAGCAAGGGAAGAAATCTTAAGGGTGTGAGGCTTAGGAGAGGCAAGGGAGAAGATATCTTGAGCTACCACAAAGGAGGAGAGAATAGCTATAGAGTTAGAGATGAGGAGAGCATCTTGAGGCCTTGTATTAAGGTGTCGCTTGAGAGGGAGGCCATAGAAGGAAGATGAGGGCTCATCTCTATGTATAAGCTATGTATTCTCCATTTCTTTTGCCTTAGTGAAATATTTGATTGATTCCCTCCCGTGGACGTAGATCCAGTTGGATCGAACCACGTAAACGATCTGTGTTTGCTTGTGTTCTTTTTCGTCTCATTTCTATGCCAGGAAGTACATATCTCACAACAATTACATTCTCACATGTACTATCATATTATTTAAAAGCCTCCAGATCTACTACGTTTGATTCACCTGCCAACCTAAACTGGGTTAGGAGGCCTCTATTATTTAGATGGCAACCCCCTACAGTCGGTTGGGTTAAGATCAACGTGGATGTGAGCTGGAATGCATCTTTTGGTGGTGTTGGTGGGATTTTTAGAGTTCATACGAGTAATGCATTATGTTTCTCCTGTGGTAGCTAATTGTCCTTCGGAAGCTGAAGGTTTTGCGGTTCTTCTTGCCTTAAAGCTCGCTGTAATTTTTAGCTTCAAAATGCTCGTTATTGAAACAGATTCTTTAGTACCATATGAGATTCTAGCTCATGATACTTACATGCCATGGAACATGCTCTGCATTGTTAAGCGGCTTAGACAAATTATTACAGGACATCACCTTAATGTTCATTTTAGTTTTATTTACAGGGAGGGAAATCTCCCTGCAGATTGGTAGGCCAAGCATGCTTTGGAAGATATTTTGGTGGGAACGCATCCTCCTCATTTAAGAAAGTTGCTTATTGGGGATAATCATGACATTCCTTTCATTTGTCTCTGGCCTTTGCTTTTGGACTTCTTTACTGGTTTCTACATTTCGTTTTTGCATCCTTCTGTCAAGTTTTGGCTTCTTTCATCAGATTTACTCTCTGGTTACTTTTGCGGGTTTCCTGGTTCACTTTGAGGGCTGGTGCTGTTACTATCAGGATGGTTTTCTGGACTGCTGCCTTTTGGTGACAATTTCCAGGTTTTATGAGTATCACACCACATGTCAAGGTCTTACCATCATCTGCGAGTTTGGTTTCTTTGCTGCTGGCTCGAACGACTCCTTGCTTAGCACTGCTTCGAGATTGCACTTTTTCTCTTCTTTTAGTTCGCTGGAATCATCCCGTTTGCACTACAATTTTTTTGGTTGGAGAACTCTTCTTCTGTTACAAGTATAAGCTTATTTTGGGGTATTTTGGTTTTTGGGGTATACTTTATGCATTTTCTCTCTTTTATCCCTTTGCGTTAGTGTTGTACTGTGGAAAGTGGAATCCCAACGGGTGCGTTTCTTGTATTTTTCTCTTTCTAGATTTGGGGATCCATCTCCCCTCCCTTCATTGTAACTCTTTTTAGGATTAATGAATTCGGAACCGTATAATGCTCCTTCCCATATATATATATA